AAGAAGACTTGGCAACCCTAAGTCATGTCTATTCTGTGGGGCTTACTCCAAGGAAAGTGTTTTTTAGGAGAACATGGTTAGGATCCCTAGACCAGTGCCTTTCATTTTTCTGCCTCTAGGAAGCTTTTCCACACTGATGTCTGAGAGGAAGACTTGAATATCTACTGTGGAATTTCTCTGTTGAAGAAGGTTCTGGCCTGTATCCTAGGGTGCACAGTCACCTCATGCAGAACACTGGCTGAATGCTTCCCTGTAAGAACTGAGACCATATCTTAGAACAAACCCAAGGAAGAATAGAATGGGTAAGTGGTCTCTCCAGCTCAACTTGCCAACCTCTGCCTATCTTCTCACTGAAGAACCAGTGTTCAGCTTTAGAGGAACACCAGAGCTCCCGGGAAAACAGCTTTAAAACCACTGCCCAAGGCAGCAAGTTGGCAAAACTTCAGTTTAAAGACAGTGGGGAGACGGGTATTTAAATCTTCAGAGCCCCAAGGAAGGAGGTAAGGCCCTTCCTGCAGCAGCTTTTAGCCCTGGTTAGGAAAAAGAAAAGTTGTCAATTTTTGTTTTCTCTGAAGGGGCTGATTTTCTATCTGGCATATGTTGTGTATGTGTGTGTGTGTGGGAGAGTTAACACCTCTCCCTGCCCCAGGGCTATAGCCTTATCCAAATAATCTCCTGTTTTGCTGCTTTTAAATAAGGGCTAAAATACATATTACACAGATGGAGTTCACATGGAGCATTTGCCCCGTGGAAGGCACAATACTCGAGTGGATTTTCCGGGCACAATCACACCAGAACATCTGGGAGGCGTAGCGCACCCGTGGCATGCTGCCGAAGATGCGTATTTAAAAGGTACCTGCAACAACCTACTGGCAAATGGTTTGCCACGGACTGCATACAGACTCCCACGGTGTGCCGCCATTGTGTCTGATCGCCTAATGGCGGATCAGAATGTGACGTCACAAATAGCCACACCTCCCCCCACGTTATCTGGCCCATGTGACTGGGGCCAGAGAGTCAGAACCACAGAGACTCAGTCATATTGCAGCTGCAAGTTCCTGGTTGGAACTCCATTTAAGTGTCAAAGGAACCCAATTCAGACTGGGACTGTGGTGTAGGGGGGGGGGAGGGACTCTTGCCTTCCCACCCACACTGTTTTCTCAAGATGAAACAGGGTGGGGGAGGTTATTTGTAGAAGGGCTGCAAGTCCCTGTGGCAGACTTCCGAATGTTTTATCAAGTAATTTGGCCCTAAAATTCAAGAAAGGCTCAGACATTGATCTCTTATTTCTCATATAACTGTACCCTCAATTGACATGACAATGATGATGACTAATTACATACTAATTCTAATGCATGACTACATGGGGCTTTTCAGTGAAATACTCCAGTCTTTTTTGAGTGTTATATCCAGGCCTCGGTTCCTGCCGGAGCGCACTGGAGCACCACCCTGCCAGTCAGGAGCCCAGGGCTGGGCACATAAGCCCCGCCCCCTGCTCCCACCAGCCATCAGTTGGGACATAGTGGGGGGGCAAACATTCCCCGCCTCCCTGAGCCCCAGGGTGGTGGCCTTGGACTCGTAGGGGCAAATTCCACCTCTTGCGTGAGAGGTCATTCTGGCTCCCCCAGGTCTCCTTCGGGGCTCCTTAAAACGTTATGGCCGCTGCCGCTGTTCTCGGCGGCAGCTGCGATGCCCGTGGGGGGGTGGGGTGAAATGTTCTCCTGCCTCCCTGAGTTCCGCGGTGGTGGCCTTGGACTCATAGGGGCAAATTCCACCTCTCGCGCGAGAGGTCATTCTGGCTCCCCCAAGGCTCCTTGGGGCTCCTTAAAAAGTTATGGCCGCTGCCGCTGCTCTCAACGGCAGCTGTGACACCCGCGGGAGGGGGCGGGCGAAATGTTCTCCTGCCTCCCTGAGCCCCGGGGTTGTGGCCTTGGACTCCTAGGGGCAAATTCCACCTCTCGTGTGTGATGTCCGACATCACACACCAGATGTCATTCTGGCTCCCCCAGCTCTCCTTAGGGGCTCTTTAAAAGTTATGCCAGCTGCCACTGTTCTCAGCGGCAG